AGTGGAGCTGCCCTCGTCAAGGAGGGTTATTCAGCTGAGCAAGGGTCGAGCGTCAGCCCCAGCGACAGCACAGAAGGGAAGCTCTGCTAGTTTGGCTTAGAGCCCTTTAGTTATGCGGGGAGGCCTGAACTGCCTTGTAAACACAGGGCTTATTCATGTCTTGGAAATACCCGTGCATTTACGTGGTAATTGTAGTGTCAGTATATAATCAAACCTTTTACTGTTACACCAAATGAAGTATACTAGTAAAGTGAAAAAAGTACAGCTTAATCTGGTTCGACCAGTCCGTGAGGCATAAATTAACCCAATGCTGCAAAGTTTATCCCTTTTCAGTAGGGTGCTAATACACTCTGAAAAGGAGTGTATGCACCTCCGTGACCTGGCAGAGAACCCAAGTACTTCTCTGGCGCGGTGTTCCCGTGCGAGCCCGGCAGTCCCGCTGGAGGAGCGCGAGGGAGCCCTGCTAGCCCGCGGCAGGGGCGAGCGGCATCATTAGTGATGCTTCGTGCTCGAGAAAGGCTGGTGGCAACGTTTGGGTGTTTGCCCTGCAGCACCGGTGGTGAGGAAACGTGTCGTCATGTGAGCAGATGTGTGTTGGTTGCCTGCAGCCTCAGGCAGAGGTAACACCCAAAATGAGTTTTGCATTTTTGCAAAGTGCTGCTCCTGAAAGATGCTGTGCTAGTGAGCAGGTGCAGGGTGCATGGCAGGACTTGGCATCGCTCTGCTCCCTGTGCACACAGGGGTTTTGCTGCCACGTGTCTGGCCTCTCCGCTTGGCTGCCGCACCTGGACTCCGCTCTCGTGTCGCCTCGGCCCTTCCAGCTGCACAAAACGTGTGTGCGGCCCCCTCGCGCCCGGTTTTCCTCCTGCGCTTCGCCCACTGCCACCCGGAGGCTGCTCGCCCGTGGGGACCCCGGCTGGGGTGCAGGACGCTGCCCCGACCTGGCTTCAGTCCATCGCTCCATTACACGCTTCTGGAGAGCGCCCTGTGAGCCGCCTGTATCCAGAGGCAGGGAGGAACTTTCGTGCTCTTTTGTGGATCCAGGCATCAGTTTCTACACACGTGCCTGCATAGCTGAGCGAGTGCGAGACTCTGCATCGTTTGCATAGCTTGTGTCAGTTTAAGTATTACACAGAAAATAATAACTGGCTCCCTAACAGATTAGTTGCTTTCCCTCATCTGTGCTGATTGAATTAAAGCTAGACCAAGGCCGTTCATGTGTGTTGCCCTTCCGTTCTCATTTGACTGTGTGGAGGCACTTCCTATTTTGCAGTTCCCCATTTGTGAAGCAGAGAATGACGACATTTTCCTACCTGATCAGAGGTTGAGAGACACTGGCACTGCAGAGTATGTGGAGAGAAGGAGAGAATCACACAGTCCAAGGCACATTTTTCCCTTTCTGTCTTTCCAGGAATTATGTGCTTTGGGTACAGATGGTTGGAGACCTCTATGTCTTTCCAGGACTTGTGTGCTTTGGGTACAGATGGTTGGAGACCAGCTATCAAGTCCAGTGAATGTTGTAGAAGAACTCAGGTGCTCCCCTAGCTTCTGCATTGTGAGTGCTGCTGAGCGTGCATGTGGTTTTGGGAGGAATGCTCCCAAATGGAAAAGTGCAGCAGTAGACAGAGCCTGCAGGGTACAGCAAGCCAAGCTTCGTAGCTGGTCGTCTCCTAAGAAAGCCGGATGCTTAAACTGAACAGAGCAATTCTTTGTGTGTGAGAAATGAGAGAGGAGAGAGAAGAATGAGTGGAAGCTCCAGGTGGAGTTAGCAAGCCCTTGAGAGGAGGTGCGGGCAGAGGGGCTGCGGTCGCCACGGTCTGGTTCTCCACTCAGGAGCTCGGTCACTCTTGTGATCTATTTTAATTTTTATTTGTTTCTGTGTGTGCATGTGTGACCTTGCTTTCCCCAGCTCCCAGTATCATCCTCAGGAGCTCCCTGGCAATGTGCCTTAATAGAGGAAGGAGTAAATGTTCCTTGCTACCCACCCCCAGATGCTAATATAAGTTAAAAAGCCCAAAGCAATGAGGCTAATAGTAAAAAACATATGATGTGTATTCATGTATTTTGTTCCTGTGTGTGCAATTATGTGAGATGTTCCCTAACACTGGCTGAGTTTTGAGAGCAACAAATTTTAACAGATCCTTAATTGTATGCCTGTCAGGAAGGTTTGTCTTGAAATTACCCAATAAAATAATCTAGCATTTCTCTAGATGTGTTAAAGTTTTCATTGTATGTTACAGCTTCAGTTTGTGAGGGGATTGTCCAAATCTGTGGGTTTTTTTTTTCTGTATAAAATCAGCTCTATCATCATTTGAGCTTGGCTGTGATTGTGATATATGAGTATCCTATCTACCTCCCAACATATAAATATTCCCTAAATATGTATTTCAGCTGGCATGATTCAAACATCGTCAGGAAGGAAAAACAAACCTAGATTTTTAAATATTCATTCTTCACACACGTCCTTCAGAATATCTGGAATTTCTTATTTGTTTGTGTCTAAGCTAGGATGGGTGTGTTTTATTTTGGGGTAACTTTAAAGTGTCACCAATAACCTTTAAAGTAAACATTGCTCTTACTATTTGAAGATCTAGAAGCTGAAATTAGCCTTTCAAAATACTAGTTTCTGGTAGTGGTGACTGAAGGTTACTCTGTTATCCTCCTAACTTCCAGCATTTTATTTTTAAAGCTAATACATGAAAAATTCCAAACAATGAAAATATAACCTGCAGGTCTGAGGTTTGCACTCCTAATCGTTTTGATTTCCGTACTAGTACTGACAAAAAGCATTTTCAATGTGTATTTTTCAGTCTTAAATATGCCTTCCTAGAACAGCTCTTTTCTTTCTTCTAAGAAAGTGAGCTAAATAAGCTTTAGAAGCCAACAGAGTGGACCTGATGTTAAGATACGTGAAGATTTCCATTGATAAGCTATTGGACGTGAGATTCCTGTGCGTTTTTTTTCTTCTTTTTTATCCTGTTATTATGATATAAATGTTTTTGTTCTGTGGTAGCATTTGAATTTTTTGAGTGGCCATCTGTTCTGAAGAGGGTTTTGCTTTCTTCTCGTAGTTCTTCGTGGGGCTGGGTGGCTCTTCTGTGTTTGTTTTGTTTCGGGAAGGATTTTGGTGGGTTGCACATGCACACAGCTGAGGTGGGCTTTACACCTGCCTTTTAATGGCTAAAGTTTTGTGTTGTATTAATGAAGATAAACGGCAAACTTTGCAAGTTATGCAGCAGCGTGGTGGTTCAGTGCATCCGCAGCTCCTGCCTGGTGCCCCAGCTGCTTCCAGCCCGCGCCTCGTCCCGGCTCTGTGCTCTTCAGTGCTGCTTTCATCACCAGGAAAGTGCCAGGGTACAGAGGATACTCCCCAGAGTGGTGGATCAGCAGCTCCCGGGCGGGAGGAGGAGGATGGAAGGAGCAGCCACCACCTCTCTGGCAGCATGAGGGCCCCAAGGGCAGCTCGTAGTTCCCTCTGTTGATCCACTGCTTTCTGACTGGTCATGCTTCAGTGAGGTGAGGAGAGGCCCTGCTCTTCCCGCTTCCCTCT